AAGGATGCCGAGGGTCATTTGGAAACAGCCTCTCTACCCCAGGGTAGGGCTAAGGTCTGCGTACACACTACCTTCCCCAGACCCCACTAGTGGGATTATACTAGGTTGTTGTTGTTGTTCAAAAGGTGTCGAGTCATTTTTCTGTATTTCCACCTCCAAAGGCACACTGCTGATTCTTGCAGATCTTGCTCTAGCTTATCTGACACATTCCAAATAGTAATTTTGCTGATACACATAACTTAGCTATTATTGCTTGGTAAACAATTACATTTAGTCGATATAGCCTTCACGACGAGCTGGTACATAAGCTCTATGCTCTCCGGTAAGGTGGTATTTACAAGTTGTTTTACACTTTCTCAGACATACAAACAAATGAGTGCTTAGAGTCAAATGGTGGGTGCTGGCAGGACAAGGCTGCTAACATTACTGCATGCCGGGTATTCAGTCATATTTCATTTGACTACTGCTATGATAGCATAATTTTGCATCTTTCCATCTAATTTAGTGCTAGCTAATTTCCTATGCCGTGAATTTCACTTATGCTGCAGGATACTTTCCGTGGGAAAGTATGTGAATGCCCAATGGTTCAGGGAGTAAAATTTGTTGGTGATGGTTATACTCACTGTGAAGGTACATAAGAATCTATGTTCAAAATCTTGGTCATATAAAGACTCTGTTCTGATGCATGAGCATTGTCTTCAGAGGCTTAATCTTTTGCGCTTTTGGTTTGACAGCATCTGGAGCATTACGCTGTGGAATAAATAATGGAGGTTGTTGGAAGGGAACCAAGGACGGCATGACATTTTCTGCTTGCATAGTAAGAGGCTGCGTTCAAGCATAATTACCTACCTCTTGAACTTTAATCTTCGGCATTCCCCTTCTTTTATGAGGGGTGCTTACCCCTTTCCTATCTTCTGGTTTTACTGAAGCAGCGGATTGGAATATGAAATTTTCTTGTTTCTTAATTTTATTAGAGAATTGATGCTAGAAAATTAATTTTTCCTCTTTGAATTACCCCCTTCTTTTTTGGCTCTCACAGGTTCTAACTTTACTGGTTTTACTTGACTTGTTCTTTACACGAGTTTCCTTGTGTCTCAATTTCATTCTCTGAACAGGGAAACTAAACGTTTATCCTTATCTTGTTAGGATGACCACACAAAGGGTTGTAAATGTCCACTTGGATTCAAAGGAGATGGAGTGAATAGTTGTGAAGGTACAGAGAATCTGTTATTCATTATATATCATTTTTTGAAATTTGCTGCTGTTAGCATTTGTGGAATAACTAGGGGTTGTCAGCTGTTAGAATCTTCTTAACCTTCATCTACTTGAGGATTTAAATCTTCGTTCTCTTTGATTGCAACAAAAAGTTTTCCACTTTCTTTTTCTCTGTAGAACCGTCATCTTATTTTCCATCCGAGAAAAACATTATCCTGTATATGCCTATAGAGATGTAGAGGTAGGGATAGTCTTGCTCTTTATTAGTACTCTCTCTGTAGCATTTTATGTGACACGCTTTCCTTTTTCGTGTCCCAAAAAGAATGACACCCTTCTCTTTTTTGAAATTGTTAGAGTTTAGTATTTTCATTTTACCCTTGAGGACATGACTTGTTGGGACCACGTAATATAAACATTCATTCTTTATAGGGATAGAGAAAATGAAAAGACATGTGGAACTCTCACCACCACTCAATTAAAAGGATAATTTGATAATTTGCATATATTTGGTTTACATGTTAAAAGCCTTCCTTAATGTTTTAAGCTCTATGCCCAGTCAAACAGTTTACGTAAAACGGGACAGAGGGAGTACCAATATGACTAATATTTTGCTGATGCGATTTTTTTTTTTTTAAATCTTTTTGCTCTTTTGCAGATATTGATGAATGCAAAGAAAGGCTAGCATGCCAGTGCCCAGAGTGCAAATGCAAGAACACATGGGGTGGTTATGACTGCAGTTGCAAAGGCAATTTGTTGTACATGCACGAACATGACACGTGTATAAGTGAGTTTGAAGTTCTCATATTGATGGAAATATGTTTTTAACAATGGATGAAGCTAGTTAAATGTTTTATAATGTGATGGTTGTGGTGCTCAATTAGCTTCTTTATCTGTAACAGAATTTCACGAACAGCTTTAAGCTACTGTGATTTCAAAATCCGATGTAGTTTGATCTTAACTTTTTTTTTAAAAAGATGCAGGCAAGGATGTCAAAACAGAATTTAGCTGGGGCCTTGTTTGGGTTATCATCTTGGGTTTGGCAGCTGCAGGAGTTGGAGCATATGCTGTGTACAAGTATAGGATCCGGGTATGTCTTGTTAATTTTGTTTTTAATTCTTCAATTTTGGTCAACTATGACCTTTGGGTTTGGGATACACAACAATGTCGAAAATTGGAAATCTAGTGCTAATCCAAGTCAGTTTATCGGAGTGTACAAGTATCCACGTATAATACTCTCTTCGAATAAGTGTCAACCTGAGAATTTCCGAGAAGAAATCTAAGGAATAGGATTCCACCAGATAAAACCAAGATTGAGCAACTTCTTTTGGAGCCCAACACGGGAAACAACTTAGAAATGTTGTGATGTATTTATTTGAAGGGGAGCATTGTAGCAACGGTAAAGTTGTGTCAGTGTGACCTATATAGGTCACACTGACACAACTTTACAGGTCACAGGTTCGAGTCCGAGTCGTGGAAGCAGCCACTAATGCTTGCATTAGGGTAGGCTGTCTATATCACACCCTTAGGGGTACGGCCCTTTCCCGAATCCTGCGTGATGCTTTGTGCATCGGGCTGCCCTTTATGGCGAAGTCATTACAAGTTCATTCGGGTCTTACTCTGTGCGCTGCAACAACCATATCCGTGGCATGTTCATCAGTTGTTGATCCGTGCAGAAATACGTGGCCATTGCCTTAAGTGCATTTTTATCTGTGTTGTAGGCTTCTAGTTCATGTTATGTTCTTCTTTCCTAGTGTGTGTAACCTGAAAACCTATTTATATGCAGAGATACATGGATTCAGAGATCCGCGCCATCATGGCACAGTATATGCCTTTGGATAATCAAGGAGAGGTACCTAATCATGTTTCCCACGGAAATGTCTGATAATAGTCATCGCTGAAGAATGATTGCGCGGGTAGAGTGTAACATCAAGTGATGTCGCGATCAGCTCTTTTTTTCAGTTGGCAATTGGCATGAGGTTCTTTGTGCTTGTGTCATTCAGTGAGGTCCTATTTATGTATATGTTCATCCTAACATTACACATAAACTCCCAATTTATTATAGGGGAAATTTTCTGTAGTGGGATATGCACAATTGTCTTTCACTTTGGACATAAGCTTAATGGAGGGTAAAGTTTTTGAGAAACAAACATTATGCCACTTTAGAGAATGTTTCCAGCATGAAGGGAAGCTTACTTTACTTCTCTGCCTTGAAATGGTAAGGTGGGATAATATGCCTCTTCAATCACATACTTGTTATGCCGGTGAGTAATAATGACAACATTTTTATGCAGTGAATGATAGTGGGCGGCTATTGTGCGGTGATTATTAATTATTAATAATGATTAACAATGAAGGATTTTAAGGCTACTTTGTTTTAAAGTAGTTTAATTCTTCTATTGCTAATATACGTATTCTTGTTTTAATGGGTGGGGCTATAGTACATCATTTTTCACATAGCTTAATGGGTGGGGATATTATTTAATAGTGAAGAAATGTTGCATTAGTTTCTTATGCAGTGATTATTATTTTATGCGGTTAACCAGACAATTGATGATTTTATGCTGGAATTAATCTATCTATACTATATTAAAAGCACGAAGGTCCTTAGCAAAATGTCGTTCGTTTTTTTTACCCTTAAAAATCGATTTTTTATCAAACAAAGTCGTCATTTTAAGTTTTTTCCTAATATTTAGGAGCTTTAAATAAACTAAATTTGTACATTAAATTCTTCCTTATTAGAAGTATGTAAAAAATTCCATTATTAAATGGATTGTATAAATCCTTCCTTATTTAAATGATGTAACACCAAAAAAAATATTATTAAAAAAATGTAACGTTAGAAAAATTATTAAAATAGGAAACTTTTGTCACTTAAGACTACTTTTAGGTTTAGGAGTCTTTGGTATTTGTTAAATAAATATAACGATTGATTCTAAAATTAATATTGTAGGGAAAGTAGTCACAACTGTTCCAGGTTCATATCAATCATATAGTTTTATTTGTCTAGCAAGTAGCAAGCATCTCTCACCATCGGTAAAAGGTGCACCAGCAAGAAACCTATGCTATAATTTTAGAATTTTAAATTTAATTTCTTTGCGAAATAGGTTTCAATTTGAATAGAAGTAGATTGCAAATTTTATATGAATGCATTTAACAGTTTTTCGAGTCAGAAGTAGATGATGATAATGATAGAAGAAGGCAAAGATTGTTTGCAATGAGATTGATGAAAGATATGAAAGAAGAGGATTTAACAAAGGTATTATTGCAAGCCCTTACCCACGAAGTGTATTTTTTTTGCCTTTCTCTTCCTTTTTTTCCGTTGTTCATTCAAATTTAGTGTCTTTCAAAAGAATAATATTCGGAATATCATTCCTTATATTCTACCTTTCTTGCATTAGCGTGTATCGGTTAAAAGTTTATCATCCAAAT